TTGTCCTGCCATCCACACACACCCCAAGGGAAAAATATTTTGTGCAACTTCATCAGAATACCATAGATTTGCTTTTCTCTCACTGACTCCACGGACATAGGAGCCCAGAAGCACTGAGATATTTCAGAGTGTTGCAAGCACATAGGGCTGTTTGGAAGAAAAATTTTACTCCTATTTAAGTAAGCTTTCTTGTGCCCCCAGGAAGTAGGTAAAGCCCATTTTTCAAGTAGGAGCTGGAGACATTAACCAAGAAAAGATTTTGTATAGCTGGATACAGACCAAAAATTGCTTAAGTCTTTCTTTAGCACTCTGAGCACTGGTGGTAAACTGAGCCCTTAGATGTAGCCCTGCAGACTCACCTGGGTGCAGGTGGGTCACATACAAGCCAAGAGACTCTCCTTCTCCCCACGTGCTTCAGGGGACACTGTTGTACCCAGATGGCCCCAAGGACCACTGGAAGGAGCAGCTGGAGATGTTGCTCCTCATTGCCTCGCTCCCAGGGAAGCCACCATGGGTAGAGAGCAGCATCTTGGCATCCCCTATTGGGCCACATCAGACTACGTGGCAGGTCGCTGCGGTGCCCCGCTGGCCTGGGCAGGATGCAGACCTCTCTAGGAGACACATCTAACATCGAGCTGACATTAAAAGCAGACTTAAAAAAAAGAAAACCTGCTTAGGGCTTGATCTGCTGTAATCAGCGGAAAGAATCCCAAGGACTTTGATGTGGACCAAATCAAGCCCCTGGAGGATGTTCATGGTAAATCATTATTAATATAATGAGTGCAATTTCTGTGCAGCAGCTCATGCCTCTTTATGGATATATGAAAATTGCCAGCTTTTCACATAAAATGAAATGAGGAGGGAGACAGACCACAGTGTTAGCCAATGAGCCATAGTAGCCACTCTCCTTTCGGTATGTGTATGTTTAAAGAAACTGGGCACTTAAAATGACAGCAAATTCCTCCGGTGAAGCTCCCTCAATTTAGTGCTTTGACATATCTCCAAATCTGAACAGGAAAGAAAGCCCTTTATTCATAGCAGGCAATAAACCACCTGAACACCTGTGCTAGAAAAGACCTGGCAGGTACCCCGCTCCCTTGGTACCTGGATTATTTGCGCATTGTTTATTATATCCCTTGCCTTAGTTTGCATCAATTGTAATCATTTAGGAGGAAACGGTATGATTAACAGTACACAAGCAAACAGCAGGAATTAATCCTTTAAATACAAATACTTCCTTGGTTATGCGATGGTTCCTTGGAAAAAGCAGTGCAGCAAAAGAGTAGCTATGAAAATCCTCCTTAAGTTTCCTCTGAAAAATCACTGCTCAGTCACTATTTGCTTAATGTAATTCTTGATGCAAGCAATTGAGGAGGTATATTTCCCAGCTGCGAATAACACCACAAATATAACTCTCAGCACACGTTAGGTGTCATTATTTCTGACCCATCTTTGGTGCTGGCAGGGTTCCCTGCTAGCTTTTAAATAGTAGAGAAGCAAAATTTCAGTTGTCCAAGACCTATCTCATCTCCCATGTTGGGATGCCCCATATGCCGCAGTGGCTCCAGCTGCCTGGGAGAAGCAGGTATGCCAGTGGTGGCCAGCAGCTCCTGACACGGGCCCTAGAGATGGGGCTCTGTTTCACTGAATTTCACTGAATTTTTAGAGTTGGAAGGGACCATAGAGATCATCTAGTCCAACTCCCCTGCTAAAGCAGGATTGCCTAGAGCTTGTCAGAGCATGTTACTCAGGACTGCATCCAGACGGGTCTTGAAAATCTCCAGAGAAGGGGACTCCACACCCTCCCTGGGCAGCCTGTTCCAGGGCTCCGTCACCCTCACCATGAAAAAATTCTTCCTCATATTCAAGTGGAACCCTTTATGTTCCAACTTGTGCCCATTGCCCCTTGTCCTCTCACTGGCAACTACTGAAGAGAGTCTGGTTTCCTCCACCCTCAGCCCGCCCTTGAGATACTTGTAAGCATTTTCAAAGGGTTCCTTCTCCCCATGCATGAGGAACCCCCCCAGACCTCCACCTCTACACTTGTTTCATTAAGCCTGTTTCAGTAGGGGAAATGAAATGCCATAGCCTTGGTGTACTATACATTAGCTATACATTTATGTTTTTCCAGGAGATTTTCATCGTATTCATAGCTGTCAATCTTACAAACTGAGGATGTGAAAAAAGCAGAGCTGCCAGTCTTTCCTCTTCTGCCCTAAGGGTATGTGGGGTTATCACACATCCCGTTTCCTTTGTGTTTCGTACTTAACCTTACCATGTTTTCTTTCCTTATTTCCAATGAGATAATGCAAGCAGTTAAATAACGTTCTGTTTTCTTTTCTTCTGGCGGTATCATCAAGGTAACCTCACTGACTCATCAATCCAGATTCACACCAGAATTTCCACCGTTCATTTTATAATGAACTCTGCTCCTTGGAGCTTTCTTAAGCCTTGGTTTTATGGCTCCATCAGACGGTGTAAACTTCAAAGCATAAACCTGTATTAATATACAACTACTAGTTCAGCAGTGAAAAGAGGGGCTGATTGCTTCCAGAGCGTTATGCTGCCGACACAGTATTTGCACCAAGCCCTAGAAGTACATCTACAGCGGCAACGTTTCTCATCACATGGCACACACGTGCCCTTCTGGGCTTATTTGGTGCTTGCCCAACCGTTTAAAGAAATGTTCACAAATCAGCAGGGCTAATTCATGCCACTCCACCACATCTCTAGAAGTTATCTTTTCCCTGCGCTGCCTGTCATCTCCCCCACCCTCCTTGTTTTCCTTGCTTTTCTGTAAGCACCCCACTCTGATTTTCTTCTTGAAATACTTGAATGCTCAATTTTTTAAAAGAAGTATTTTCAGTGGTTTCACTTAAAAATGCAAAGCAGTAAAACAAAGCGTAGGTTCAGATTTTGACACCGGTTATTTCACGCCAGTGGGAAAGCAAGATCAGAACTGAAAAGTCAAATTTATCAAGCAGAACCCCGTGATGGATGGTGATTTGCCCACATAATAACAATTGCACAGTTAAGAGCCCGAAAGGTTTATGCAGATTTAACCCTAACTAGCAGCTGAGCAACTGGTTCACTAGAATAATACTAAATCTTCATTACTCAACAAAAATATAACCAACAGCTGAGGAATTTAGCGCAGGCAGCTTACACATCAAAAACCAATGAGACATTTGTGCCAAAGCAGACTGATTCAAAAGTCTTGGGCATTTCTAACTGATTTACACACACGCTTTGTGTCCTCCTTGGCTCAGGTATTTGAATTAGCAAAATCCCTGGCACCAAGTACACATACATTTCTGAGTCACCGCTGAAATAAAGACTAAAACTGTGCAGCTAAGTATTGAATTTTCATTCAGCCAACACCATTCAAAACTGCTCGCGTAATTATTATGAGCACTGAAATTTTAAATGCACACAAATCCTGCATAAAAACTGGAAAATTACAATCATAACTCATCTGATTAAAGCTGCTATTTGCACCAATTTTGCAATGCACAACACTTCAGAATTGAAACACTATGTAATTAAAACTGTTAATTGCCAAAACCAGGCCTCTGTTAAGACTATAATTTAACAAGGTTCTCTTTATTTGACCGTCTGATTTTAAAGGTTAATGCAGTGACCTAGGAAGCCAGTGCGCCCATTTCAATTGTGCTGGCATTTTGACCAAACACCACTTTAAAGGAAAAAATGGGAGGAAAAAAATCATAGCTGGCTTTTCATGCCACTCTTGCCTTCATAAAACGTTCCTAGTGAGAACACACAAGCCCAAAATCTGCTGACTTTATTAAAATATTAACAAGGTATAGTTAAAACTTTTGTACACTTATGCAAATCAGGTTGCTAGAACAAGGGAAAGAGGAGATTCCCCTGGGAGAAAAAAAAAAAAATAAAATCAACAAAGTGAAAAGATCAACCATCCTTCCACAGCATGACAGCACGACACAAGAGGCAGCAGCTTGGGAATTCAGCAAGATAAATAAAAACCCTCCAAAGTTTAAGTAAATCATGGTTTATAAAGCTAATAGATTTAAATGAGGCATACGGCACCATTCTATAAAAAGAATACATTTGCCAGGGGACATGAGCAGTGTTTTGGTGGCCGTGCTACACAGGTAAGATTTGCCTGAGGGGGACAGCCCTGGTGGGCACCACATGAGTTCTTTGGAAGGGCCACCTCCAGCAGGCCATTCCTGTGAGATGTCAGGCACACACGCCATGGAGGTTTTACAGTCTACATGGGTTTAGCACCAAAGGTATCGGTGTGATTTAAACCCCAGTCTCACCATCACGGCTCCAAGGTGGCCCCCAGAGACAGGGTCCAGAGAGCAGCATGCCGAGGTCAGATCCGGCCCCTCCAAAAGGATTCCTAAACCCAGGAATGGATGCAGGCCAAGCACTGGCTTTGTGGGGGCTAAAACTGCTGTGGCTGTGGCCCCCAGTGCTGCCAGAGAAACTGGCATGTAATGCCTGGTTTGCAGAACCTGCAGTTCATTAACGTGCTAGTGCCTTGGTGGAGCTTCTAATTAAGCACCGTGTTGAGCTGCACCCATTGCTTTGCTCTCATACCTCGGAAGGGAAAATTCCTTTACTCCTGACTTAACAGCGAGGAAGGGGAGGGGGCAGCATACCATTTGCTTAGTCTTTGTATGTTAATCAGTGCCTAAATTATTAATAGAGAAAAAGAAATTATTTACAAGGTGTTTGACGTAGACATGTCAGGATGTAGCAACGCTACTGTCAAGAGAAATACTCATAAAGAATCATGATATCTGTCTGGTCTTATTTATTTATTCCAGCCATGCTCAGAGACCCCTTTCTCCCGATAGCACCCGGAGAGGCAGGAGGAGACTGAGAGCCTGTTTAAGGGCAGAAGAGACCACACCGAGGGCATGCACCTTTTCTAAATGCTGCACAAGGGTGATGGTTGCACAGAGAAATCATCAGCTTTAGCTTTGCTTTTACTCCTGTTGTAAACATACCTGAAGCTCTGTTTGAAAGAAGAACTTCTGTGGGCACTGGGAACAGTCATAAATTTTATCTTCCTGCCCGTGGACTGCGAAGATGTGCTGCTGCAGTTTGTTTGCCTGTACAAAAACTGAAACGACAGAGTACGATCAGTTCAGATTGCTCCATGTAAGACATCTTGTCTGGAACTACACTTTTATGGCTGTAAAGACTCTGGGAAGTCCAAGGATATCTGCCAGAGAAGTGCTGATACACTCGGTTCAGCAGAACTTCCTTACAAGTAGTCAATTTAGAGTCTCCAGGCTGACAGTCAGCTTACTTCTAACGGAGTCTAAATCCTGCATGGATTTTTGATATTTCACATAAAGCTAACACTGTCCACGGGTAACTGGAGGAACTCAATCATGAGACCAAAGAGAGGACGTCACCGCTCCTGCGGGGAGCCCTGGGCCCACGGCAGGTGCATGGGATGCATTTTTAATGCAGGACAACTGGGCCAGGAGAAGCCTTGATGGCTGGTCTGGAATACACGGGGCCCAGAACAGCATTTCTGGCAGCCACGTGAATCTGAAAGGGCAGCCTTGTCACAATTTTTAGACCTTTTAAATGGGCTTTCCCTTCAGTATAACAAATTATTATGATTTAACATCACAAATATCATAGCATCTGCGCTGTGATTTTGAATCGACAATTATTCTGACTTCACGAGGTGAAATTTGGAAGTGAAACATATTGAACCACAGGCTTTAGCCGGTTAAAAGTATCTCTTGTTTCATTTTTGTCTTATTTTACATGAATGATCATCAGTATGTGAAAATAGCTGCTTCAGCGGATTTAAACACACACACTCAAAGAGTTCTTTTACAGCACATTTCAGGAAAGAAGCTGCTCACACAAAACTCAGGTTCTTAAACTGTGGGCCAAATGCTAAGGAGCAGGGGTTTGCCTTAATCCCACCAAAGTTTAAGAACTGCAGGTGCTGCCGTGCCCCGTCACTGACAACAGGTCCAGTCACACATATTTGGACATGTAGATGTTAACTACTGTTTTGAGGAGCATATAAAAGGCAGCCTTTAACATGCATCCTGCAGATCCTTTAACCAAGATCACCCAAGTTCATTTGCACTGATGTGCTTCAAACCAAGTCCTGGGAAGGAACACCTAGCAGGCCCTCAGACTAGAGCTAGAAATGTGCCACCACAAGTAAACTGGCCTTAAAAATACCTCTGAGAGAGCAGCTGGCAAAACTGTAAGGTTGTAAAATTTGGTCTTCTCAGACCTTTACTCACGTGAGCCTCACCACCGTTGAGTGGACCGTGAGCTACCTGGTCTGTAAGGGGTCCTTGCTCACGTGAGTAAGGGCTTGCAAGAGTGGGGCCGTACCTTGCAAGGCCTGTGCTTGGGAGCCCATGGCACCTTCCAGCCACGAGCTGCAATTCAAAAGGCCTGGAGCTGGGGGGGCAGGCAGTGCCCACCGCACACGGCAGCGCTGCTCCGTGTCAAACGCCAGAGTGCTGCTCTTCAGAGCGAGTCCCAGTTTCAGACAGGTGATATTTTGAACATTTCCAAGCACAGTATTTCTTTCTCCCAAGGAAAGGCATACAGTATTTTACAAATCCCCCGAGTGTCATTTCTGGATCAAGCCATGCACGCTGAGGCTTGTCTTGGCCTCCCTGTCTTACCTGTGAAACAAACCGGGCATTTGAATGTGCCTCCCATCCCTTCAAAGCTGTGCTCAATCAGGTGACACAGGAGCTTTGCCGGAGAGTCAAACATCTGGTTACACAGCTTGCACTCATGATTGATGCCTTCCTCTGCAAGGTTCAAATGATACAACTTGTTAGTGACACAGCAGATTAGCGTCGGGGATGCAGCAGTCGGCGAGAAACGCCCCGTGCCGCCGCGCACGGCTTCCGAGGACCCACAGACACCCCGGGGGCTCCGGCCTCATCAGAGAAGTGGGGTGTTCAGGGGTACAGCCCCCCCGGAGCTTTGGGGGGCACCGATTTTCAGCGGTGCTGCCATCAACCCGCCGGGAACCCACAGGCTGGTGGTGACACTGCACCGCCCCACCTCGCATCCTACCGCAAAGGGACAGAGCATCCCTGCCCCGGGTATGGATTGTTAAATAGTCAAACAGCATTTAAAATGAATTTAACAGTGTGGATTCAACCAACAAGACTGGAAACGGGCTGAAATGCTGACTTCACCTCAGACTACACTGCAAACACACGGGAAAGAAAAACTATCAGAGAACAGCAGGAGCCCAGAGCAGAGTGTCAGTCTTAATTTTATATCTCTTGGCTTCTTCCAAGCTGAAGGTATTTAAATGTCATTTAAAAGTGTAATTTCCATGTCATATACCTTAAGCGTTGAATACACAGGGCCCATTTTAATTGCTCCTGTATTCCAGGTGAATTCGTAAGGAAATAACAATGATTGTTCCTATTGTTTCAAGCCAACCAGAAGTTTGTGGTTCTGGGTGCAGCTGAGCCTTTTCTGGAGGTAGAGGCCATACTAAAGCAATTTTCATACATAAAATTAAACAGTCCTTTGGTTTTCTTGATGGGAAGGAGGGAGTTGCAGAAATTTAGACCACATAAAGTACAGTTTATATAAATCAGAAAACACATAAAATTTAAAAAAATTGTAGATGATTTCTGTAAAGACTTCCTGAAAACGCGTCTTTCATTCACTGTGGCAGCACATCAACTTATCATGAAAACTTATTTTAAAAACTACAGAAATTCTGTCTTTTGATGCACACTCAGCTTTGTTTTTATATCTTCAAACATCACCGACTTCAGTTTGTAGTTCCAAGATAGCTAAGCAATGACTACGACAGACCATGAGCTAATCTCTTGCCAAACGCATCTGGATCTTGTGAATAATGCGAGCCTTCAGAAGCATGGTCTTTACTTACAGTTGCTTTAAATTAGCTTTTTAGATCTTAGGAGCGGCTAAACAGAGTGCAATTATTATTTTCTGTAAGATTTTTGGTATTCCCAGGATCCCAAAGCCCTTTACACCACCAGGGAGCTGGGTGCCAGGGCAGGCAAGCGTTGGGGCTCCGTGTGGGTGGTGGCTCTCACACGTTGGCACCTTGGTATGTTTGCAGCTAGAGGCAATTCCCAGAGCACGTGGGCCTTGAAAGACCCTCCATCCAATGTGAAAAATAAAAATAATTTAAAAAAATATATAAATCTCCATGCAGCAGCACGTGGTGGCCGCGCCGCCTCTGGGGATGTGTATGGTGCCCACCAGCAGCGGTGGAGAGCAGGGCATGGGGGCTGCGGTGGGGAAGGGGGAGGCAGGATGGGAAGAAGGTGAAAATTGAAAGGGAAAGGGAGGAAGGAGTCAGGAATGTGAAGATGAAAGGCCTGGTGGCTCCACGGCAGCAGCTCCACAAATTCCCTGGGCAGCCATAACCAGGGACTGGGATATTTCTAGGATGCAAGGAGGTTTGCAATCCTGTTTGGGCAGCCACCACAGACGAGCACATCGCCCTCTCTGAAGGATGGGTTTCAAAACCTGACCCTCTCCCCTTGCTGTAGGGTAAGGCTGGCTTCTCTCATCAGACCCTTGCCTGAAAAGTTTTGGCTTTGTGGGATCTTTGCCATCTGCTCTGGAGGGGAGGAGAGGTGCCCCGTGCTGCGCATGCCCAGCCACACGGCTGCGCGCAGCAAACCCCACGCTGCCATAAACCCGGGGAGGACAAAGCAGGTACTGGGGGGAATGGAACAAATTCCTTCTACGAGTAAATCAGAGAAATCATGCTTGACATTAATTTTCTACCCTCCACATACTGGGTATTTGGAAAACAGTGATTCATGTACAGCCCATGGTCCTGTGTGAGCGCCTGTGTTCATAAATACGGATAGACACATACTGCTGATTAGATGACTGCTCCTTTCGCAGCCTAAATACCTATAATTTCAGTAAAATTAAAAAAAAAACAACCAACAATGCTCAGCATTTCAACTGAAGTATATTCTTACCAGCTTGGTATGTTTAATTAGGTAACAGAGATTGTGCATTTTCTTGGCTGATCCCTGCAGTATTTTAAATAGTTAAACCCATAACAAACAAACTAAAACTCGAATGAAAAATAATAAAACATAATGGGTTCCTGCAGATCTGGAAATTTATCCCACTCGAGGCAAGACCTTTTGATTTGCAAATCCACTTCTGAATTATAAGGCCTTCTCCTCACCGGTGGGGGTTTTTATTCCACTCCCACAGGAGTCCATTATGTATTTCTTGTGTCTATAAAACCATCCAGGAAGAAAAAAGGGGGAAAAAAGTACCATGGTTAGCATGACAAACGTTTCTCTTTTCATGCATGTGTATTCAAAATATGAAAATGCCCAAAGATATAGATAGAATTGCTGCTATAATCACTCTCTCCTCTATGGCATTTTACAGCATATTATTTTACACAGAAACACGGCGCATGTATAGGGATACTCAGTCACCTTTGGAGAATAATTCCTTGGATTATATAAGATCATATAGGTACATGTGAGGCAGCTTTTTGACAATGTGGTGTGACAGCCCATGCTCCAGCCAAACGTGTGGTGCTGGGCATCAGCAACTGAAAACATACCATCATTTCCCTCATTTTTATTCCCCCTCTTTTTTTTTTTTAACATGACAAGCATCTACGAGAGACCTACATAACTCAAGTGAATTATGCAGCCCCTCTCATTTGTAAAATAAAATGCAGATTTTTACAGCTTGCTGTGCTAGATCTTCTCCCATTTCTCCATAAGTGTATCTGTGTGGGGATCAATTGATTACAGGACTAAACGAGCAACGCACAGCAAACGAGAATCTTGGGTTTCTGGCCTTTTCTTTTTTTTTTTTTTCCCTTCCTGAGCTCAAAATAATAAGCATTAATTTTACACTTCATTTCTCAAAAAAATAATAGGATGTGCTCTTGTTTAAAACAAGCAGGCCTGCTGGATTCTGTCAGGCTGAAACTATGTCAGGCCAAAAGAGGAACAGAGCGCTTTGTGTAAAAGTATCATGGGGAGATGATAGTATCCTGTAATGTTTTCAGTACCTACTTTTGTCTCCAAAAGCATTTGATCCCTGGCAGACACATACTTATTTCCATACTGGTCTTGAGGGAAGCCGGTAGGAATGAGAGCTGATTATCTGAATCCTGAAGGTGAAACCTGGGTGGTGCCCACTGATGTCAAAGGCAGGCATTTGTATAAATTTGGAGGTACATAATTTACTGCCTGTTAGGGAGGATCGGCGGGTTGCGCAGACCCAGCTGAACGGCGGTGGCGAAGCACGAAGCTCATTGTTCCCAAGTTGGGGTGCCTTTGCAGGACAGTTGTAAATATGTTGATAGGGTGCTTGGTAAGAGCACTTAACGCTGTCCTTCTGCCCATTTTAGAGTGGGAATATGCTTCTCCACGAAGCTATTTCTGCTGCAGCAATGTGCATTTAATACATATTACAATGAGTCTCCAAGCCTCTAAGAGAACCGACACTAGCAGCCTCCTGGCGAGGATGCAGTATAATTAATAATGCTGTATTAAACCCATGTACTGTATCAGCTGCATTTCTAATTATAACTATATTAACGGCTACATAAAAGTATGCATTAACACTGTCGTGCACCGACACGTTATCACGCCAATAGCAAACGGGAGATTTGAACAATAAAAATCAAGATGGCATTGTCTTTACTGTTAGTTAAAACTTCTCTCTTCAACTTGATTTAATAAAGCAAAATTTTCCCTTATGGAATAACTGCAATAGTCCTAATTTGAGAGATCGTGTAAGACAATCTGATGCTCGCGCCTGACAACAACATGTACACGCCAAACTATAGCTTCCCAGACCAGTATATTTCTACTCCACTGCAGTAAATTAAGGCAATAAAAGGGGAATATCTTTCCTGTACTCAGATGTACACATCCGTGAGTTAACCACACTTTTAATGAACTTTATAACACTGTAATTCAGTGTAACAAAGCATTAATATACTGTGCTCACAGAGAACCTTCTCCTGTCCGTTATATCATAAATCTGGTAGAATTAAATGGGCCATGTAAGGAGTGCTCTAATTATAACAGAAATAAATAGAAATTGGAATGAACACTGGGAAATAAAACGAAAACTGCATGGAACTATTCTGTTTATGCAATTCATTTCCCAGTAAATAAGTAAGCAAAGGGAAAAATTTGCAACATAAGAAAAGCAGGAGCTTCCCCAGCAATTTCTTTTATGCGGCTGTGAAGACGCAAGGGCCTGGGAGCAGGGTGGGGTGACAGTGATGGACACCCCCCTCCAAAACAAAGACCCCTCTCCTGACTGGCACGACTTCACCACTGGTTCTCATTAAAAACAATCCAGCGACAGAGGTAAAACCAAGGCCTGAGAACACGATGCAACTGCTCTGAGGAGACGCCAAATGTGCAGCGGCTCAGGCTGGATGAAGACAATGTCTGTCGTAGGGACGACATTTCTCCATCACCATTGCTGCCTACACCCCTGACCTGCTACACAGACCATTTGGACCACATGGCTCCGTTATATTTTGGTAATTAATCCCGGAGGAGATAGCTGAGCCCTTCCCCCTGCCAGCGGGGTGGCTGCGGGGCGAGGGGACCCCTGTGTCCAGCCCCGGCGCGGGCGGCACAGAGCCGCTCTGCGGTGCGGCGCCCCGGCCATTAGGCAGCCCCGGCGGTGAAAGGCGGGGGATTGATGGTGTGGCAGCAGAAATGTCACCTGGGGAGCTGGGTGCCGTCCTCCCAGGGATGCTGGAGGTCAGTTACTATGGCAACGCCGAATGAGC